CCAATCAGAGACAACCAGCAACAGCTGACACTCGTTGCCTCTGATTGGGAGCCACTCTGGCCAACATAGAAATACAACAACTAGAACTCCCGACATAGAAACACAACACATAGAATATACACACCCTGGCTCAACATATAGAGTCCCAGAGCCAGGTTGTGACAGCATAACTGTCAATGAATGGCTGCAAAAATACATAGCCTCATATAATTCATTTTCAAAGACCCAAGTAGGCATATCAGATTTCAAATATGTGATTACACTGGAAAAATTGGGAAGAAGTGGAATAATAAAATAAGTGTGGGGAATAACAGTAGTGTTCTTGCTAACAAGCACACTAATTACCTTATATTTTAACACCCATTGTTAATAATGATTTTTTCCACTGATCAGACTAATTAAAGTAAATAGATAATAAAATCTCCTGAAGACAAGATGACATAAATCTGCCCCTACACCCTAACCAAATTATTTTTCGATTTATTGTCCCCCCTCTAGAATCAAGCCTACACTTTTGGATTTACAATTCATTGTTAAAAATCAGGTCACCCGACCAAACAAATGCATGTGTGGATTAAATCGAACTTTATGCTGTCAAAGGCTGCATTCTGCAATACGGACGGGAGTTACAGCAATCTACTTTTGTTGACAACATTGTACATAAAACAACGCTACAGTGCTGCTCTTTTTACAGCTTAATAAACTCAGCAGAGCATGTTCTCTCTCCATTCAGCTCCACTCTTCTTGAGGTGCGTTTCTTTAAAATGCGCATTAAATCCTCTTGATCACTTACATAACTACCCCAATCATATGCTTCAGTGTGCCGCGGTTCACAGTGCTGTGTCAGGACAGGACAATGATAGTGGTTCCGCTCGTGATGTTAAATTGCAGGCGCAGATGCTCCGATTTCAAAACGATTTGGAGTACAGTTGAAAAGTTAACGCACTGACTATACAATGGACTAATTAGACAAATAAAATCAGTACTTTTCAATGCTTGAGATATAACAGGTGTGGTGTGTGAGCGTGAGCGTGAGCGTGAGAAGAGGGTCAAATGCGTGTCTCACGGCCAATGGGTGAGAGTTGGCAGCTCTGCTGCTTTGACATCTGTGACATCTGATCGATATGCACTATATTACTGCAATGTCCTCAATCTTAATCATGTACGTGTTTATTTATTTATAAAACAGTTATACATGAAGTATCCTTTTTTAACACAGTACCACAAGGCATATTATTGATATCCAACTTTAATCCTACCTATACCCATCCTTAGTTAGAACACAAGGCCTTGTTGAACATTAGTTCACATACAACACATTATTCGGATTGTGTGGCCATAGCAGCTGTTGATCAGCTTTAGATTCATTCATTATCATCAGCTCTTTTTTATTGTCCTTTTTTGCCAGCTTGCACATAATTAAGTTTCCAAAGAACGTACAGAGAAGTGGCACAGACAAAACCAAGGCCCTGTCCTCCCCACATCCTCCTCCTCTCTCCCCTCAGTGGTTCAAAAATATATAGCTGATGTCAACAGGATTGCAAGGGGTAAAAGGTAATGGGTTGTTGTTCTGCTAGACTATATAATATCTGTTGATGGTGTTAATAACTGTTGACAGTTGTTTGGGGGTATTTGTTCGACCACATCCTGAATGTGCTAAATGTTTGTTCATGTCAGTTAATCTCCCATTTGAAAAGCTCAATGTGATGAAGGATTCATCAAAATCTTCCCTCTTATGTTAAGTGTGATAGCATCTCTGCAGAGCGAGATCATTACATTCATATGGAGAGTGTTTGTTCAACACAAACACATAAAGCACATATAGGCCATCTAAACATCTATTAGCTAGTAATGACAGTGTTCACTCTGAGCCGATTGGTAATTATAAAGCCATACCACTAACTATGTATCAACATGAAATTAGGAACATTTAGACTTTAAGTAATGTAAGGACCTCAATGACCTGTTGTTAATTTAACACTTACAGAGTTAATGTAACACCTGAATCAACACTAGAAATGTTACATTAACAAATCCACACTAGGTAACACTGGACAATTTGCTGTGTGTGGTTTTTGAGTTTCCAATCAGATATTTTCTATTACATGAATAATAGTATTTAATTACGAAGATAATTATTGTGTGGGCGATAGCAATTTTGTAAAATAATAACTTAAAAAAGAGGAACTACATGTTAGGGTCCATTGGACAAATTAAAATCAGTGATTTGGAACAGAATGACAGTAAGAAATATGATAACCAGTGTTTTTAAGAGTTTTGGCAGGGCACCTGCAGTTATTGCTGTTTCAGAGAGTTTAGAGGCTGTGTGGTCATGTGACAGGCGGGAGAGGAAAGAGGCGTCAGAGTCAACAACCGTCACCATCTGTTGGGGAATGAGAGCGAGAGCACTGTACAGAGGAAATAGGGGAAGCGAGAGGGAGGGATTATTTAGTTTTTTTAGGGGCTTGTTACAGTAACGTCAGCAAAGGGGTCAAAGGTGTGGATCAGGACAGAGACAGCAAGGCTTTAGGAGAGAGGAGATATCAACTCAGATTTAGAGTTTGGAGGACAGAGAGGAGGGCATTGAGACAGTTTAAACAGTACAGTTATAACACATTGAGACAAGAGGAGACAGAATGGAACAATAATACAGTCAGTTTTAGGGTTCAGGGATAAGGGTATAGGGTCCAGGGGGAAAGTTGAGGATTTTGTTTTTTGGGGGTGACAGGTGGAACGAGCAGCAGTGTCTTGAGGAGTACAGGAGTATTGTCAGGAGCCATATAGAACAACCAGAGAGATGGGGAACACATGTATTATAGGAGTCATCTCTCTCCTGGCTGTTTCTGCAACCTGGAGCTTGGAAACAGGTTTGAGCATCTCATCACTTCATTTGGTTTATTTTGAGTACTGTGTAAAGCAGTGGTCACCAACCTTTTCTAAGTCAAGATCACTTTCTGAATCAAAATGCAAGCCGCTCTGTTTAAAAAAAAACATGACTTAAAAAACGTAAGCCTATTCAACACTAACCAAATAAATACAGTTCTGTAGCAATGAGGTTTGTGCAGTAGGCTTTAGGCCGAATATATTATCACTGCATATTTGCTATGCTTTGATTGCCCTGCCAATGTTGTTCTTCTCAGACCATTTTGAAATTATATTTAAACCAATGTTAGGTATATGATCACACTAATATGTAATTTGTTGTATTATGTGTGAGGCACAGCTGAGTGAGCATAATAATACTTTTTTTTACTGAACTAATGGCCTGCATCTGATGGTCAGTCTGATCTCCCTCAGCTGAGAAAAGGGGACACAGTCTTCCAGCTGATGGCAAAACTCAAGGCACACTGCATTATTTCTGCCTCATGCACCAATTCATGTTGTTACTCCTATGACCAGAGAAAGTGAAATATTCCTCGATATTAAACAGACACAAGCCGCTAAATAATAACAACGCAAGCTTATTAGAACACTTTGTTATACACCTTCATTGCAGCTGCAGTGCTGGTTGTAGCGTGAGTGGAAGTAGGGAGAACATGCATTTTATGGCTTAAAGTGTTGACAGTGCTGAATAATAACTTAAACGTGAACTTACTCATAAAAACAGTAGTCTCTCTCTAGTCATGGTTTTAAACGTTTTCAAATCTCACAGTATGAACTTTGCTGTGCATTCGATGCTTCCTTTTACAGTTTATGGCTCAAGGAAACTGTACAGACATGGTGATCTGAGCTATCTGATTGGCCAGTGGTAGGCCTGTAGGTGCACTTGATTTAATCTCTGGGCGTGCCGGGTAGGCAGAATTTTACCTTCAGACACATGAAACGGTTAAAAATGGGAATGCCTTCCCGGCGCTAGGGCTGCTGAATCAAGTCCACCTACCGCCAACAGCGCAAAAAAAATACAAATAAATTGGAAGTCAAGGCTTTATCATTCAGTTTTTTACAGAAATGTTTGGTGATCGACTAGTAATGCTTTGGAGATCAGTTAGTGACCATTGGTGTAAAAGGTTAAATTATTCATAAAACATTCAAAGCATTTATCTAAGCCATCTATAGCTACCCTAAAATATATATTATTATATCATACAGTCAAAATATTTATTTTATGACCGAAAAATACTGATCAAAAATAGATATTTTATATTTTCCTACTGCTCTGACAAAGGAGTCCCACGGTCTAAATTGTATTCTCTGTCGGCTGCTGGTAGAATCCCCAAGGGTTCTAGATTTCTATGACATGTGTATCGAGAATTCTGTTCTGACTATTCCATTGTGGTCAAACTGAAGACAAAGATGTTTAAAACAAAAGGTTCCATTCTCTTCTACCACGGGAAGGAAAATGCAGCGTAGAGACTAGTGTGTGTTGGGGGTGGCATGGTTTACCGATGAACTAACATGTTTTCCCCTGTATTTGAGAGGAGATTGATTTGAGGCATATTAGTGATGATGATACAGCTTTTTTTCCATGATAGGGGGAAGGTGACATTACTAATCAGACACTGTATGGGGGTCCTGTGGGTTTCTGTAACCACCACAGAGGTTATACACCTGTCGAAAGTAAACATCAACAAGAATGAAAGAGCAGTGTGTGACCCAGAAAACATCCCACTTCAGAAACTTCAGTAACCTAACAGTCAACCTCCCATGATATCACATCTTATGTATAACATTGGGAGCTGTTTTAAGAGTGGAAAGTTGTATGTGCTGCAATTTAAAAAAACTAAAACACAACTAACAAACCAAACTTTATAATAATGACTATAAACCTCCAACTGTTCAACTGTCAATTTTATGTAAGACACATTTTGTAAGACATTGGCTTTCAGATTACTGACAACCCACTTTTCTTCCTTAAGACTGTTTTGCTCATCAACTAAGACATGCTTTTCTATTGACTGAACTTACACTTGATGAAATCATGTTTAACTGATGATGTTGAATGCTTAACATTTTGCTAACATGCTCTGCCACTAACATGCACTTTGATCATTCTCTCAGGATATAACCACAACATTTCTGTGAGCTCTCACGCGTCTCCTTTCCTCACCTCCATTGTGCCTCTAGACCTACAACATGGAGTCATTGGTATTATTTTTTTTTTTACCAAACCTGCTTAATCGCCACTATGAGCCTGCATTAGCATGTTGCCACATTATTGGTCAGAGAGAGAGATAGGTCTTTATGTTTTAGGAGAGGAGAGAGAGGAAATTATGCTTAAAAGTTTCCTATTCCTTGGAATGAGGCCTGATAGTCTGCATGACTCTGAGAGATAGGTCTGAATATCCGACATAGCCAAATCAAGCTCCTCTATATATTGTATGTATTGTAAAAAGATAAGGATACATATACGTAGGCCTATAATAATACTCATACAACTGAATCACACATTTATTCATTTACCCGCCATTTATGCAAAAGTCATTTGTATTTAAATATGTACAGTTCTTTGAAGTTGTTATTTTAATAGTATTTCTTTAGTTGCCAAGAGTGAACATTTCCACCTGGGGAATGATGCCATCTTAAAGTGCAGCAATAAGACTTGGAGTGAGATGATCTACACCATCTGGAAAATAAACCTGGATGGAATAGAGTGTCAAATATCATCTAGTAATGATAACCAAAATCTGAACACATGCAATGATGGAAAAGCCATGCTCAACACATCCAGGGGTGAATCCTACCTGCGGATTCCTGATTTCTCAAACAGAGATGAGGGAATCTACCACTGTGAGTCAGTGTACAAAGCAGGGAGCTACGCCGCAAACATTGATGTATCACTAATAGGTAAGAAACCTTCATAGATCTGTACAGTTTAGCATGACTTCTGTGTGCTTTCATTTCTCTATATTCCAAAATATTTTAGCCTGTGTTGTTCTCAATATGCCTATTTCCCCTCTCTTCCCCCTGTGTGCAGCCCCTCCCAGTGTGTCTGCCTGGCTAGAGTGGGAGGGCAGTAGGCGGGTGGCTGTGTGTTTGGCTGAAGGAGGGAAACCAGCTGCCTCCATCTCCTGGAGTGACAAATGGAACTCTACTTCAACCACCACATTGAACCAAGATGGCGTCAACAAAGTAGAGTCTCGATTGGTCCTGCCTGAGGGGATCGCTACGGGCAACCTGACTTGTTCTGTCATACATCCTTCCTGGGAAGAGGTGCATATGGTGACACCAGGTACAGACTGACTATTTAGAATTTAGAAGGACACTGTATTTAGAAGGACACTGTATGACTAATATCTCACTCTTTTAGAATAGGAGTGAACATCGTCGCTTTTTTGGTCATTAAAATCCTTCAGAGCACCCGTGCGTCAATCTAAGTAACATAATAAAAAAATCCCCATAAAATTTGTCAGTTTAAGCTAGAGATAGATGTAATCACAAATCTTGTCTAGTACAGGAGCTGACTGCATGAGAAGTTCCAAATTAATTCATTGTGGATTTCATTGTGAATATGAAACAGAAATGAAAGCCAGATGTTTACTAGATTGAATGTAATTGAAATATGATGGTATGATGGTAACCCACTGGACACAAACTGGTTGAATCAACGTTGTTTCAGAGTAATTTGTCGACATATTGTGACGTGGAATCTACATGGAAAATACATTGGATTTGAAAAAAGTAATCAACTGTTGTTTTGAGGGTGAAATTTAAACCACAGGATTATGTCATCATTGTAACCAATTTTCAACATAGACAAACCTTGTATAAAATATGTTGAATTTGTACCTTTGAAACAACGTCAGATCTTCAACGTTATATCCATTATCAGAAAAAACCTGAAAGGTTGGGCAACACCTCCTACTGCAGAGTTGATCTATCTACAGCTATTAATTTGGTCTCCCATCCAGGGTTTTAACCAAACAAACCCAGCCCTGCTTAGTTTTGATATTTGCTACTGACTACTACCAATGTGCTATCGTGAGAATGATTATTAGGAGATCTCTTAATAACTAAATATTTTCACTGTTGATATCAAAGTCATTCCAAAGGGTAGGTTTAACAGAGCAAATAAAATGTAACCATACTTTATAAGTCATATATTGTTTCATAAAAAATTATATTTAGGCCTATATAGCATTTGCAAAGTCATCAACAGCTATTGTTTCAAAGCAACCCAGTGTTCAACTAAAAATAGAGAATACATATAGGGCTAGGGTTTCAATATTTGGTTGATTTCAAATGTAATCATTAATGTGTTGGATTCACGTCTCCATCTCAACCAAAAATGTAAGTTAAAGAATATGACTAAATAAAATTAAACTTCAAATGCACTTTAAATAAAGTTTGATTTGATTTAGTCCTATTCTTTAACTTTGATTCTTGTTTGAGATGGAGACGTGAATCCAACATATAAATCATACATTTGTAGACAAACTGGAATTAAAGCCAGACTAAGGGCTCTATTCAATTTGTAAAGCTGAAGCGTTAGAGATTCTGTGCTACAATTTTAAATGTCATTTCCGATTGAGCCAACATATCAAATCAAATCAAATGTTATTTGTCACATACACGTGTTTAGCAGATGTTATTGCAGGTGTAGCGAAATGCTTGTGCTTCTAGCTCCGACAGTGCAGTAATATCTAACAAGTAATATCTAACAATTTCACAACATATACCCAATACACACAAATCTAAGTAAGGAATGGAATTAAGAATATATACATATATTGACGATCAATGACAGAGCGGCATGGACTAAGATGCAGTAGAATATTATAGAATAGAGTATATACATATGAGATGAGTGATGCAAGATATGTAAACATTATTAAAGTGACTAGGGTTCCATTTCTTAAAGTGGCCAGTGATTTCAATAGGCCTCTAATGTGCTAGTGATGGCTATTTAACAGTCTGATAGACTTGAGATATAAGCTGTTTTCAGTCTCTCGGTCCCAGCCTTGATGCACCTGTACTGAGCTCGCCTTCTGGATGATAGCGGGGTGAACAGGCAGTAGCTCGGGTGGTTGATGTCCTTGATGATCTTTTTGGTCTTCCTGTGACATCGGGTGCAGTGTTTACCGTGAATGCAATCTCAGCTAAAGTGGGAACATTGCCTCTAAATTTCAATCACGCTGTAAAGCTGAACTTCCGCGATGCGGATTGAATAGAGCCCTAAATCAGTGGCACAAAAAACACACTACTGGTCATAAGTTTTAGAACACATTTTACATTTTAGTCATTTAGCAGACACTCTTATCCAGAGCGACTTACAGTTTTAGTGAGTGCATATATTTTTCATACTTATTCAAGGGTTTTTCTTTATTTTTGCTATTTTCTACATTGTAGAATAAACATCGAAACTATGAAATAACACATATGGAATCATGTAGTAACCAAAAAAGTGTTAAACAAATAAAAATATATTTGAGATTTGAGATTCTTCAAATAGCCACCCTTTGCCTTGATGACAGCTTTGCACACTCTTGGCATTCTCTCAACCAGCTTCACCTGGAATGCTTTTCCAACAGTCTTGAAGGAGTTCCCACATATGCTGAGCACTTGTTGGCTACTTTTCATTCACTCTGCGGTCTGACTCATCCCAAACCCTCTCAATTTGGTTGAGGTCGGATGATTGTGGAGGCCAGGTCATCTGATGCAGCACTCCATCACTCTCCTTCTTGGTAAAATAGCCGTTACACAGCCTGGAGGTGTGTTGGGTGATTGTCCTGTTGAAAAACAAATGATAGTCCCACTAAGCCCAAACCAGATGGGATGCTGTGGTAGCCATACTGGTTAAGTGTGCCTTGAATTTTAAATAAATCACAGACAGTGTCACCAGCAAAGCACCCCCACACCATAACACCTCCTCCTCCATGCTTTACGGTGGGAAATACACATGCGGATATCATCCATTCACCCACACAGCATCTCACAAAGACAAGGTGGTTGGAACCAAAAATCTCCAATTTGGACTCCAGACCAACGGACAAATCTCCACCGGACTAATGTCCATTGCTCATGTTTCTTGGCCCAAGCAAGTCTCTTCTTCTTATTGGTGTCCTTTAGTAGTGGTTTCTTTGCAGCAATTCGACCACAAAGGCCTGATTCACACAGTCTCCTCTGAACAGTTGATGTTGAGATGTGTCTGTTACTTGAACTCTGTGAAGCATTTATTTGGGATGCAATTTCTGAGGCTGGTAACTCTAATGTACTTATCCTCTGCTGCAGAGGTAACTCTGGGTCTTCCATTCCTGTGGCGGTCCTCATGAGAGCCAGTTTCATCGTAGCGCTTGATGGTTTTTGCTACTGCACTTGAAGAAACTTTCTAAGTTCTTGGCAATTTCTGTATTGACTGACCATCATGTCTTAAAGTAAGAAACTGTTGTTTCTCTAAATGTTGATATTTGGTTGTGTTGTCAATCAAACACTATTCAATATAACTATACAGTAAATACGTAGCATACAGTTAAGGCTGTCTTACAATCTAATGTAGGCCTAACAGTATTTTTTCAACCTTAAAATGAGTAATACATCAATTGCCTACTGTAGCCTAACTATAAATGTCTTCTTATGTAATCATAGAAAGCGTGCATGTTCAAGATAGCATGCAAATGTTACAGGTCTTTGGAGATCTTCACAATTGCTATAATAATCTGGGCAGAATCTCAAACAGCATTAATCACTTGCACTATGTACTTTTAATGTAGCCTAATCTCAACTGCAATCCAGGTCATTTGGTTGTGCTATTAGATGAAGAACAGTGATAACACATTCAGTTGTATATATACAAAATATCTGACATTGTATTCCTATTTAAACTTTGGTGTGCTTTTAAATGGTTGAAAGCGCAGTGATAACACATTTAGATGACAACTAAACCAAAATTCAGACATTGTTTTTCTATTGGAATTTGGTTGTGCTTTTAGATGGTTAAAAGCATAGTGATAACACATTGGGAATTCAACAAACTTCTGGCTGTCTTTTTGAGTAGGTGAATAATTGTTGAAATCTCATTGATCAACGTCTCAACCAAATATTAACCACATTTCCATGTTGAAATTACGTGGTGTGCCCAGTACGAAGTTTATTCTGATTCTGATTATTTATCATTTTATCTCCCTGTCAGGAACCTTAATTCCCTGGCGATTAGTCATCATCTCTGTGGGAACTATCAGTATCATCATGGCTATTCTGGGGGGTTTATACTTCACACGAAAACACCCCTGCAAAATTGGGTATGAATACTAATTATTCTAATGATTTTGATCTTTTATGATAAAAATGATTTGGTTCAATGTAATTGCTTGTATAATAAAGAGCTTTATCTGTGTATTCACAGCCCCAAAACAACATCTGAGTCCAAGGCTCCTCAGGTATGTATGCACCATATCCTACGTTGTATTACATGTCATATTACCGTAAGTCCTGCACGTTTTGCATAGATAGCAGTTTACTGTAAATAGTGATGAGTCTTTGTTTCTCTCTCAGCCACAGGACTATGTGGAGGAAGTAGAACCCTACGCCAGCTATGTACAGCGTGTCAATTCCATCTACAACTCCTCTGCAGACCTGTTCACATAACACACGCACACACACACCTCTCTGCACGCCACTCTGAGAACTTTGAGGTTGATGAAACTGAGCCAGTAAACAGGGAAATTATGGCGGACATGATGCAGGGCTTCTGGTTCGAGAGGAAAACCTCACAGATCTGATCACTCCTGACTGTGGAGGTTGAAAAGGTATTACACTCAGCACAGACTTGTTGCAGCACTCAGTCCCCATTATCCTATGCCTGTCTGCCTAACCACAGGCCTCTGTCTCAATGATGACTTGGACAACTCACTACAACAGATATCTATCTATACAATAACGACACACTAAAGTTGAGATGTGAGAAAATGGCCAAAAACACAGACATTTCTACAACCAAAGAGATGTGGGCAGATGAGAGATGAGCTTTCCAGTTGACCATTTTCATAATTTGCACACTGAGAACTATGACTTGCTGTGTAGTCAGCACAACTGTATACCACTGCTCTCATAACACACGTTTGACTGTTCCCACACTCCTGTTATCTGCAAATCATGGGGAAGAGTACAATTTTGAGATGTTTCATCAAAATCTCAATTTATATAATACTGATGTGTAATTACAATGTTTTTGTTGAGTTAATATTTATGATTGAATTTAAATATCAAGTTTATTATACAATAAAAACAGATTATTTACATTTGAAACCTACATCCTGAGTTGATGGGGAAAGGATTTGAATCACACAGCACATTCTCTGTGGTTACATTCATGAGACAAGAGTTTGACTCTGAGAACTAAGATAACAACTCAACTTTTGAATTTAATCAATTGCCTTCGAGTTGGAAAACGTGTGTTTGCAGTGGTGGAAAAAGTACTCAAATGTCATACTTGGGTAAAACTAAAGATACCTTAATAGAAAATTACTCAAGTAATAGTCTAAAGGTATTTTGTTTTAAATATATTTAATTATCAAAAGTAAAAGTGAAAGTATTAATAGTTTCAAAATACTTATATTATGCAAACCAGGGGCACACTCCAACAATCAGACATTAATTTACAAACAAAGCATTTGTGTTTAGTGAGTCCGCCATATCAGAGGCAGTAGGGTGTCAGGGAAAATGTATGGAGTAAAAAGTACATTATTTTCTTTAGGAATGTAGTGAAGTAAAAGTTGTCAAAAATATAAATAGTAAAGTTTATTATTTTTTTATTTAACCTTTATTTAACCAGGTAAGCCAGTTGAGAACAAGTTCTCATTTACAACTGCGACCTGGCCAAGAGAAAGCAAAGCAGTGCGATAAAAACAACAACACATTACATATGGTGTAAGCAAAACATAAAGTCAAAAATACAAACAGAAAATATATATACAGTTTGTGCGAATTTAGTAAGTTATGGAGGTAAGGCAATAAATAGGCCATAGTGCAAAATAGTTACAATTTTGTATTAACACTGGAATGATAGATGTGCAAAAGATGATGTGCAAATAGAGATACTGGGGTGCAAATTAGCAAAATAAATAACAATATGGGGATGAGGTAGTTGGGTGGGATAATTTCAGAATGGCTGTGTACAGGTGCAGTGATCGGTAAGCTGCTCTGACAACTGACGCTTAAAGTTAGTGAGGGAGATAAGAGTCTCCAGCTTCAGAGATTTTTGCAGTTCGTTCCAGTCATTGGCAGCAGAGAACTGGAAGGAATGGCGGCCAAAGGAGGTGTTGGCTTTGGGGATGACCAGTGAGATATACCTGCTGGAGCGCAGACTACGGGTGGGTGTTGCTATGGTGACCAGTGAGCTAAGGTAAGACGGGGATTTGCCTAGCAGTGATTTATAGATGACCTGGAGCCAGTGGGTTTGGCGACGAATATGTAGTGAGGGCCAGCCAACAAGAGCGTACAGGTCACAATGGTGGGTAGTATATGGGGCTTTGGTGACAAAACGGATGGCACTGTGATAGACTACATCCAATTTGCTGAGTAGAGTGTTGGAGGCTATTTTGTAAATGACATCGCCAAAGTCAAGGATTGGTAGGATAGTCAGTTTTACGAGGGCATGTTTGGCAGCATGAGTGAAGAAGGCTTTGTTGCGAAATAGGAAGCCGATTCTAGATCTAACTTTTGATTGGAGATGCTTAACGTGAGTCTGGAAGGAGAGTTTACAGTCTAACCAGACACCTAGGTATTTGTAGTTGTCCACATACTCTAGGTCAGACCCGCCGAGAGTAGTGATTCTAGTCGGGTGGGCGGGTGCAAGCAGCGTTCGGTTGAAGAGCATGCATTTAGTTTTACTAGTGTTTAAGAGCAGTTGGAGGCTACGGAAAAGGTGTTGTATGGCGTTGAAGCTCGTTTGGAGGTTTGTTAACACAGTGTCCAATGAAGGGCCAGATGTATACAAAATGGTGTTGTCCGCATAGAGGTGGATCCGAGCTTCACCAGCAGCAAGAGCAACATCATTGATATACACAGAGAATAGAGTCTGCCCGATAATTGAACCCTGTGGCACCCCCATAGAGACCGCCAGAGGTCCAGACAACAGGCCCTCCGATTTGACACATTGAACTCTATCTGAGAAGTAATTGGTGAACCAGGCGAGGCAGTCATTAGAGAAACCAAGGCTATTTAGTCTGCCAATAAGAATGCGGTGGTTGACAGAGTCGAAAGCCTTGGCCAGGTCGATGAAGAGGGCTGCGCAGTACTGTCTTTTATCGATCGCGGTTATAATATCGTTTAGGACCTTGAGCGTGGCTGAGGTGCACCCATGACCAGCTCGGAAACCGGATTGCATAGTGGAGAAGGTACGGTGGGATTCAAACTGGTCGGTGATCTGTTTGTTAACTTGGCTTTCAAATACTTTCAAAAGGCAGGGCAGGATTGATATATGTCTGTAACAGTTTGGATCTAGAGTGTCACCCCCTTTGAAGAGGGGGATGACCGCAGCAGCTTTCCAATCTCTGGGGATCTCAGAAATTACGAAAGAGAGGTTGAACAGGCTAGAAATAGGGGTTGCGACAATTTCGGCGGCAAATGTTAGAAAGAAAGGGTCCAGATTGTCTAGCCAGCTGATTTGTAGGGGTCCAGATTTTTCAGCTCTTTCAGAACATCAGCTGTCTGAATTTGTGTGAAGGAGAAGCGGGGGGGGGGGCATGGGCAAGTTGCAGCGGAGGGTGCAGAGTTGGTGGCCGGGGTAGTGGTAGCCAGGTGGAAAGCATGGCCAGCCGTAGCGAAATGCTTGTTGAAATTCTAGATTATTGTAGATTTATCGGTGGTGACAGTGTTTCCTAGCCTCTGTGCAGTGGGCAGTTGGGAGGAGGTGCTCTTATTTTCCATGGACTTTACAGTGTCCCAAAACTTTTTGGAGTTAGTGCTACAGGATGCAAATTTCTGTTTGAAAAAGCTAGCCTTTGCTTTCCTAACTGATTGTGTATATTGGTTCCTGACTTCCCTGAAAAGTTGCATATCGCGGGGGCTGTTCGATGCTAATGCAGTACGCCACAGGATGTTTTTGTGCTGGTCAAGGGCAGTCAAGTCTGAGGAAAACCAGGGGCTATATCTGTTCTTAGTTCTGAATTTTTTGAATGGGGCATGCTTATTTAAGATTGAGGAAAGCACTTTTAAAGAACAACCAGGCATCCTCTACTGACGGAATGAGGTCAATATCCATCCAGGATACGGGGGCCAGGTAAATTAGAAAGGCCTGCTCGCTAAAGTGTTTTAGGGAGCGTTTGACAGTGATGAGGGGTGGTCGTTTGACCGCGGACCCATTACGGACGCAGGCAAAAAGGCAGTAATCGCTGAGATCCTGGTTGAAGACAGCGGAGGTGTATTTAGATGGTTAGGATTAGGATGATATCTATGAGGGTGCCCATGTTTACAGATTTAGGGTTGTACCTGGTAGGATCGTTGATAATTTGTGTGAGATTGAGGGCATCTAGTTTAGATTGTAGGTTGGCCGAGGTGTTAAGCATATCCCAGTTTAGGTCACCAAGCAGTACGAACTCTGAGGATAGATGGGGGGCAATCAGTTCACATATGGTGTCCAGGGCACAGCTCGGGGCTGAGAGGGGTCTGTAGCAAGCAGCAACAGTGAGAGACTTATTTCTGGAAAGGTGGATTTTTAGAAGTAGAAGCTCAAACTGTTTGGGCACAGACTTGGATAGTACGATAGAGCTCTGCAGGCTATCTCTACAGTAGATTGCAACCCCACCCCCTTTGGCAGTTCTATCGAGACGGAAAATGTTGTAGTTGGGGATGGACATTTCTGAATTTTTGGTGGCCTTCCTAAGCCAGGATTCAGACACTGCTAGGACATCAGGTTTGGCGGAGTGTGCTAACGCAGTGAATAACTCAAACTTAGGGAGGAGGCTTTGGATGTTAACGTGCAAGAAACCAATGCTTTTACGGTTACAGATGTCAACAAATGATAACGCCTGGGGAGTAGGAGTGATACTGGGGGCTACAGGGCCTGGGTTAACCTCTACATCACCAGAGGAACAGAGGAGGAGTAGAATAAGGATACGGCTAAAGGCTTTAAGTACTGGTCTTCTAGTGCGTTGGGTACAGAGAAAAAAAGGGGCAGGTTTCCGGGCGTTGTAGAATAGATTCAGGGCATTATGTACAGAAAAGGATATGGAAGGATATGAGTACAGTGGAGGTAAACCTAAGCGTTGGCTAACGATGAAAGATATAGCATCACTGGAGGCACCGATTGAGTCAGTCTCTGCGTGTATGGGGGGTGGGACAAAGGAGATATCTATGGCAGGTTGAGCTGGGCTGGTGGATCTACATTGAAATAGTACAATAAGAAATAACCGAACCAGCAATAAGCAAGGCATATTGACATGGGAGAGAGGCATAAAGCAATCACAGGTGTTATTCGAGAGAGCTAAGACAACAGCTGGTAATGGCGACAAAGTTTGGGCTGAGGCTAAACATAAACAGGATGCGGTACCGTATAAAGGAACAGTCCAGCAGGCATCAGCTGTATAGCTGAGTTATCATAAGGTCCGGTGAACAGCAATAGGAGAGTTCGGAGGTAGTTCGGG